CTATATATGTACAGCACTCCATTTCCTAGTTTTCCGCCCATTGAATGGAAAGTACCAATTTCCGCTGGAAGTTAATTAGAGAAAATTAAGTTTTCTATTTTAGGACAAAATTTAAATTGACTTGTCAAATTTCAGGCACAAGCCGAACCGAAGGCTGAACCTGCCCAGAACCAATTCCAATTTGATGTCTCCTAGCTCCCACATTCACCCCACACCAGTGTATTACGAAATTTTTGAATAAATTATGAATGTTTTCGACCACATTCCACACCCGCATAGACCACGGTGCACTCGCTCCCGCTCCCTCTCTTGTGTCCATGTTTTTACTCTCTCACTTTCTCTCTCTCTGTCTTTACTTCTGTATCTTTCTGCATTTCTCTCTCTGTCTGTGTTCTTGTTCTTCTTCATATTCGACTGTCGGTATCCCTATTGCCGAATTCGACGACGACTAACGGACGCGACTGTGTAGCATAACGGAGTTTCTTATTATAATACTCTTTCTGCGAGAGCTAATGTTTTGCTTTCTGTTTGTAACGCAAGGAAAGAAGCCAGCAATTTGGATTCTAGAATCTAGAATTATCTACATAGATCATTATCGACAGCTGAGTCGATTAAACAAGTCCTCTGTGCTTCTATCTGCTTGTTTCTAGTTCCAAAGTGTGAAAGCTATGTACATATGTGTATGCATACTGATTGCTTCAATATTTTAAAGACTTTTCTCTTTTGGCTGAACGCAGTACACACTTATTTACATAAATACACACACTTTTCTTTTTTTGTTTTTTTGAGCCGTGTTTAAACTTTATTTAATATCTGTCTTTTGCAGACAATTATTAAATTTCCTCTTTGGGTACTTGGCAACAAAAGTACATACATATGTACATTATTATGTATGCATATACATGTGGCAACGATGAAGATTCAAAATATATGTACATATGTACATGGTCGCATTAATAATAACAATTCTACCGCACGATGAAATGGCTCCGCAGTGTATCAAATGATGCGGCCTTCGAAGCTAGCCTTCTGTCTTGTTTCTCTGCTTCTTGGGCATACAAAAAAGAAAATCCTTTGCGCCCCCCGTACATGTGTTGGTTTTTGTTTGCGCCTGTGTGCGTGTGTGGGTAAGGTTGATTTTCTCAAGGTTCGTTTTAATGCGTTCTGATTTGTTTGTATAGTTGCCTCTGTCCAAGCGTCCGTGGCAATGTGTGTGTGTGTACTGCACACAAATTTCAATTTTAATTTTAATCCAAATAAGTGACACCTCCTTCAAAAGGGATAGGCAGATGTACAGCGATACGGCCTAATATTCCCCCTCTCTCTCTTTCTTTCTTTGCACCACGGTTTTTCTTTTTGGGAGGCTGCGATAACGGTTAACCAGGCATGTACAGTTGTTCTCATTTGGCATTCACAGATTTTAATACACATACACACACATTTTCACTAGAGAACAGTCTTTGCCATACTTTTCTCTTTTTTGATTATCACTAATTATTCCTTTTCCAATTGCTGGTTCGTTGTGTTCACTTTTTTTCTGCTGCTTCTACTGCTATGCTGCTGGTGCTGGGGACGTCCCAGCGATGTCCGGACGCGTTGCGCAGCGCGAATTGTCTTTCAACTAAACTAAGGCGCCACGATAAGCTTGACTGATGGTTAAGTGAAAATTTTTGACAATACAGCAGCAGCAGGCAGGCAGGAGTCGCGCTCTCCAAGAGCGAGCTTTGCCGCAGAAAGCTCCTCCTTCGTGGCGCATGTGTGGGAGAGGAGAGAGTGATTCTCAGCATGAAATTGATAACGGTACAGCTGTGCAGCTTGATAACAAAAACTGTGCATTTAGAGTTAATCTCTGCAAGTGTGTGCAAGCATAATCCCTCAAATAGCCGCAAGCGCATACAATTAATTAGAAAGCCCTATTAATGCCTCTCACTAAATGCCAATCAACGGGAACGGAACGTATTGCCAGACGGGCAAAGTGGCGGGCGGTTGCAGCTGCCACTGTCCATGGCTGGCATTGAAAAATGTGCATTAAAAAGCGGAAGAGGTTTTGTTTCTTCAAGATTGGGGTGATTTGAACAATATTCAAAGACAATCGTGTGCTTCCATGGTTGTAGCATTATATTTGTTCAAATTACGCATATGTACATAGAAAAGCCCTACAGAGCCTGTCTACGATCGTAGTTTCCTCTCACCTTACCTTAATCAATATTTCAAAATTCCAACATTTAGGAGAGCAGCTGTAATTGAATGTCGAGTGCCTAAAATAAAAGACATGTGCACCAAATTCACAGCGAGGCAATAAAACAGAAACAACGCAGCAGCTGCCTGTTCCCCCCCTCTCCCATCATGTACAAAATTGATCCGGAACGCTCTGAAGGCTGACTACCTGGAAAATTGTGATTTTCGTTTGCCGGGTCAGTGGTAGGAAACTTTTTGATTGATTTGATTTTTGTTAGTTACACCTACAGAATACGAAAATGGAGTTATCTGATCTATGTACATACATATGTATGTACATACAATATTTTGCAATTGGTATTTACAATGTCTACAATTGGTTTTCTCTCTCTCTTTATATGTACAATCTGTTTTTTTAAACAATAAGTAAATTTTATAACTAATATTAAATTAACAGAAATAGCAGTTTTCCAATGAGCCCTGCTATTATATATAACATCTTTTCAGTTTGTTGGATTTATCTGTCGGGGAGTTAAGCTATTGTCTAATAGACTTAAGGCTAAATTATTTTCGTGGTTGTGGAGTCTGTCGATGTATTTCTTACTAGTTTTCTTTATTTCTTCTTCAATGGTTGGAATATTAAGATCTTTGTGGATATTTGCATTAGATACGTAAAACGGAGCATTGACAATGTGTCGCAAAGTTTTTGATTGGTAACGCTGAAGTATCTCAATATTTGAGTTGCTAGCAGTCCCCCAGAGTTGTAAAGCGTAACAATGTCTACATAATATAAAAAACATAATATAAAAAAACTATATACATAGATGAAAACGAGAAGGGATGTGTGAGACGCTTCTTACGCGTCACAACTTTTATACCCGGCACTCAGTACTACATCTGTACCTTAGCGGTTGTTTTTGTCAAATTTTAGATTTTTTCTTCATCTGTCATCTACAACACTACTCACACCAACACGCTCCTTTAGCTCGCCACCCTCCCCTAGAGCCACACACTGCAGAGTCAGGACAGAGACGCGACAGAGGCAGAGGCAGAGACATGTCTGCGCAAAGCAGAGTGTGAATGAGAGAATGTGAAAAAAAAAACAAATATAAGCTGCGGGGCGGGGTGGGTTTAGCCACTGAAAATTAATTTCTTCATTGTGGCTATAATAATCATCCAATCCAATTTGGTGATCTGATATATATGGCCATTCCCTACGGAATGGCGTTTTTAGTTTTCTTTTATCTTCAAAATTGTAGATTTTGGCTCATTATTGAAATACACTTGTAACAGTGTGAGCATATAGAAGTCTGGATGTAAAATTGGGTGGCTCTAGCTTTTAAAGTCTCTGAGATCCAGACCTTCAACAAGACGTACGGACAGACGGACAGACAGACATAGACTCGCTGATCAAGAATATATATACTTTATGGGGTCGGAAACGCTTCCTTCTGTGCGTTACATACAACCGTTATTCGCACAAATACAATATACCCTATTTACTCTTCGAGTATCAGGTATAATGAGGCAGGGTATTGCAGGACATCTTGTAAGAGATTTCGAAACATCTGTCTTCTATCCCCTGTTTTCTTTCCTTGAGAAAACTAATTCCAGCGCTGGAACAATGTCACGTGATGCTGCAACCTAATCCATCGGTTGTGGGTTTTGGTCTTTCGGTGCAACTGCCTGCCAGAGTAGTAAAAGGAAAGTTGTAATATCCTTTAGAAGAGTTCGTTGTTCAGGTAAAATGAATGGAATTCGATGGAAGACCATCTTAGTTTTGCATATTTATTGTTTGCCGTCCCGCAGATGAAAGCCGTGCAACAGAGATGAGCAAATGATTTAATCAAGTGATCACGATTGATGCAACTTAAATCATTAATGCATTTGTCTGAATTGGGCTAGTCTGTGATTCAAGCTGCATCAAATAATGTCTTTCTTAGTTGAATATCCAATTAAGTATCACAGTTACTACTGCTACTATGTATATTTGGTCGTTTTCGTGATCAATTACTTTAAATATTTTTTGGAGTTATGCAAATTTTGCGCATCTCAGTCCGTTCGTAGAGAGCGCTCTGCACACTCTTTTTATGCTCACAATTGCGTTGATGGGAGCGAGCAATGTATTTGTCGTTAGCTTTATAATTAATAATACCAACAAAGTGCATAGAATTCTTTGATTAATTAATTGTGTTGTCAAAAACTAAAACCAAATATTAAAATATTTAATATGTCTCATAATCATTTTCAGAAATTGAAATAAACCCACTCACTTATCGATATATCGATACCCATGAACATTGCATTGATGAGTAAAATCAAGAGACGGAATATCTCATGATTTCACTTGAAACAACAGCAAAATAATGTTGTTTTGTTCAGAACTAACAAAATAATTAAAATACTCTGATATATTCTACAAATATATACATTTTGTATGGATATTTTTGCCAGTCCATAAAACTATCGCCTCACCTAAAAATAAATCGAATAAAAACTACATATCGGTACATTTATCACCATGATATAAAAAACTCAAATACGAATTTTTTATATATATAGTCATAAGGTATACAAATTAATAAAAGGGAGTATATAATAAGCGAAATTAAATCGTCAGTTGGATTAAATTATTGTTTCAGCGTGCAAAGTCTTTGCAAGCTGGTAATATCAAATAGAACATCAAAATCGAGGAATATGATTTACGGTACATTTTAAAAATGAGAAGGTATATTTTGGTATATTTTTGATGGTCTACGGTATATCTTATCGATAGTTCCGCGGTCACCCTGCTATATAAGCTCCGGCGACGCTCACCGCTCTCTCATTCGGCGTTTTTTCTGTGTGCGGCAAAAATCTCCAGCAGTCAAGTCAGCTCGACCTCCATAGCCAAGCTACCTGAGAAAAGCAATTGCAAGAAATTTCTAAAATTTGCAGATTTTGTTTGAGACCAAGTGTTGTTTTTGGCATTTCGGCGAGTCGTGTTTTTCGTATTCCGAAACCTAATAACTTAACGTGTTTTTCGCGCTTCGCTTTTGAAAGTAAAACAACCAACAGTAAATCAAAATGGCTGATGTGGCTGAGCAAAAAAAGTGAGTAATATTTGATTAGAGGGTTCTGTGTGTGTTTTATTTCGTCGTTTGTGCTGTGGTCTGGACGTATGTGCATTTTGTTTAAACAATTGCACGGATCTGTTCGAATTTCGCAAGTGGTGTACATATTTTTCAATGTTCTCTCGCAACGGTTTGGAAAATTTTTCTTTTGAATTTCTGTGTCTATATACGCTTTGCCGCACCAATGCAGTTGTCTCGCTTGCGCCAACGCAGAGTGAATGTACGCGCTAAAAACGACGCCGTTGAATTTGGCGCGGCGTCATAGTGCCTTCTCGCTCACTCTCCGGCCGGCAAACCAACGACAACGAAACTTCGCTTGCTCTCTGTGTAGTGTGTGATGGCGGTGGTGGTGTAGGGAGTAGAGCAGCGAGCAGCAGCACTGTTGGTGAAGTATAAGCAAGAAGTACAATGTTGAGAGTGTTTCTGTGTGTTCGTTAAAAGCGGAGTGCGCAAAAATGTATGAATGTGAATGTACATATGTATGTGAAGTATTCAAGTTGCCGCTCTTTTTTTCGTGCCGCTTCGGCCGTCTGTCTTTTTGTCTGACTTGTCTGTTTGCTTTTGCCTTTTGGTTCTTCGCTTCGGCCTTTGCCTGTCCATTAAATTTTGGTTCGCTCAAAGCTTGGTATTAAATTTTTGTTGCTGCTCTCTGTTCGCTCGCTTCAAGTTTTTGTTGTTTCCAGGTATTTTGTCATTGCCTAAAATAATCATACGGCACGCCGGCCGCCTTTTGCGGTGTCTCGAACTTTTGCGTCGCATCAGAGTGTATAAGGGAGAGAAAGAGAGCAGAAAAGCCCCGTTAAATCTGTTGTCTTAGGTTGTGTTGGTGGAAGGGGGAGGTAGTAACATAGTGGGTGTTTTATGCCGGTATGTGGATGTTCTTTTGACCGTTATTTTTGCCTCTTCCTTTGCCTTGCACATTTTGTTACTTTCTTTCTCGTTCTCACACTTACGTCCTATGCTTTCCGACTTTATGTTGGCTGTGCTTCGCTTTTCTCCCTCACTCATCCTGCAATGCTTGTTTCCCTTTCTTCCGCTCGTTCGCCTACGTGACGCGCGCACATTTGAACTGTTGATAAGTGCGTGCAAGCGAGACGGCCGTATGGCTTGTGTGCGCGCCGCATAAAAACCAGTTTTTTTTCGTTCGTTTTATTTCAAACAAGTCGCGCTTTGTATATTTTTGCAAGCATCTCTTTTATGTTTCCCACTTTATGTGTGTAACAGGGTGATCTACTTAGAGGTACGAGAAATACATATGTATGCATATTTAGCCTGAAAAAATGCTATCCGCAACACGATCGAAAGATTGGAAATGCAAATGTCACATTTGGATAATGAATGCGAGTGTACGTGATGGTCCTGATGTACAAAAAATGACGAATATATAGGAGTGTATGTACGTATGGTATATATTTGTTTTATATATGAAAGAGCACGCTGGCACATGGCGCTCACCTTGTTTGCGTCGCAGTTTGCACTAGTTTTTGCTCCCATTTCTCATTTTGAGGCAGCGCTGTAGACGCTGGCGTCGTCGTTGGTAGATGTTACAATGGTGTTTCTTGTGTGCGGTCGCGTCCTGGGGTGGGTAAAAGATGCGGAAGCGCTTCAAACAAAAAAAAAGGCAATTCGAATGCGGAAAAATTAGCCGGACTTTTTTGTTGGAATCGAAAATTGTCTAGTTGTCGTTGTTGTATGGAATATTGTAAATGGTACTTTGGGGAAATTACTAATTTATTACAAAACTTTTTCCTCCACAGTGAGACCCCTGTTGTCGAGAAGGTGCCCGCTGAGGAAGTGGATGCCGTGAAGAAGGATGCTGTCGTCGCAGCCGAAGAAGCAACCGTCGAGAAGCCAACCGCCACAGAGAACGGTGCTGCCGATGAGGAGAGCAGTGCCAAGGAGAACGGAGCTGCTGCCCCCGCTGCCGATAAGGCCGACAAGGTCGCCGCCGATGCCGTTGATGGTGAGAAGGCCGCCGAGACCCCCGCCGCCGAAGCTGCTGAGGAGAAGAAGGACGAGGAGGCGGCAGTCGCTGGCGATGAGGCCAAGGAGAGCGGCGAGGCAGCCCCCGCAGCTGTTGAGAATGGAGCCGAAGAGGCAGCCAACGGTGACTCAACAGGTGTGTAAATCCCTCAACTCGCGCTCCCTAGCGAATGCTAGCTTTAGCCCCTTTTGTTTTGCAGACGCGCCAGTCGTCGAGGCTGTGAAGCGGAAGGTGGATGAGGCCTCCGCTAAGGCCGATGAGGCCGTTGCCACCCCCGAGAAGAAAGCGAAGCTGGACGAGGCCAGCACAAAGGATGAGGTTCAAAACGGTGCCGAGGCCAGCGAGGTGGCTGCCTAAATGGTGCATCGTCTAGGTCTGCAGCAGCCGCCGTGCACACACATTACTCGTACATATAAATTACTTACTAACACTAAAACAAAAGAACTCACACACACAAAAATGAACGCCCGCTCTCCCCAAACGCAGCAGACCTCTGTGTGCACCGGCAAGTTTGAATACGTTTGAGACATGTTTGTCGGGGCTTGAGTGTGTTTGTGCGAGCTGGGGGGGGGGGTTTGGGCGCAATTATCTTTAAAAATCCTGCAATGGGAGCATAGTCCTAAAGCGAATCGATTCTGTCTCTCTACTAACAAACCCAACAAAAAAAAACAACAACAATTAAGAGGAAGAAAATCCATTATCATTTAAAAACATTACTTAACTTAACTTTAAAGAAAAAGTATATATATATATAAAGCAAACGATTAAGAAGAAAGAACAAGCAAAAGTAAGATGGCGACGAGACGGAATCCCTCTATGTTTTAAGAAAAGTTGTAAACGAAAAGCGTCATTTAATAATTGTAATAAATACGAAGCAAAAGAAACAATTTGCAAAGGAAAATCCTCCCCCATTATATAAGAACATGTGACAAAAAAGAGCAAAGGCAAATTTTTTTCTTTTCCTAATTAACTGTACGATCCTATAATGTTTATGAATATTTATATATATATACATATATCAAGATCAAAACAATTGCGAAAACAGCAAACTGCCACGCCCCCTGCACACAAGTAACGCTGGCAAAAGAACAAACAAAAAAAAACTTGGAAAAATTCGTACATATAGAAACAATAAAACCGGATAAGAAATTTAACTTTTATATAGTAGCAATCAAAACAGTTGAAGCACGGAAATCATTTTCCAAAAAAGAACAAAAGGAACTGTTGCCGCGACTATGTAGTTTCTTTTTATAAGCAATTACTAGACCTTTGTTCATGTGTATTTTCGCTCAGAAAAAGGTTTCTCTGGAGCGTGTACTTAAAGCAAACCTACTAATTTGTCCAATTTCCAGTAACTGTCGCTGGTTTCAAGCGAACCAGCAGACCAAACCATAGACAAAACACTGAGGCAAACATGATTTGAAATGTTAAGTAAAATGTGAGATACAAGAAATCCATTCATTAAAATGTAAAATTGCTAAATGAAAAACCATTTCCCAAAGCAAATAAATCAGTTAGGAAAAGGCTGAGATTAGTATCAGGCTCTCAGACAAATAAAAGCATTCGAGAACATTCAAAAATAAATGGAAGAACAACATTCAAATGCCAAGAAATAATTTATTCCCCGGTGGGCACCCCTTACCTACCAGTTCTCAAGAAAAATGGCTGGAGAACCCACATTCGTGGACGTGCGCGACTGTACCTGTGAACAACAGGAGACACTTTCCCGAAAAAGCTTTATTTTCTGCGAAGAGAGGCATGATCGCATATGGAGACTATAGATCTCTCGTTCAAAACTTTCTTAACCAGCCAGGTTGAGTTGTTAAAGCTTTTATTTTGAAAAAAAATCCGCTATTACAACCAATAGGGATGGGGGCGTTTTCATCGAGAAAATTGTATCAACATTACAAAACACCAGTCTTATATAATTACATATATAAAACTAAAACGGAATAAATGCGCAGATTAATAACAAGTGAGTAAAACAAAATAAATATTTACTAAAGTACCCACCTTAACGAACACTTTTAAATGTATCGATACCAGCCATCGATATTTATTAGTGCAGCCAACTTCCATAGTTTAACGTGTGGACTTGATCACTAACCAAATAGTATAGTAGACTATCAGCTGCCTATAAGCACTAACCAAATAGTATAGTAGACTATCAGCTGCCTATAAGCACTAACCAAATAGTATAGTAGATTGTCAATTTGATGGAAGCGAAACGTCACCGCAGAATATGCGTCGGGAAGTCCCAGGCCTCTGCCAACGTCGCAGCTACAAGTATTAGTGCGTGTAAAACACGCAGCTAGAAGTCCCAGCTACATTTGTATTAGTGCGTGTAGAGCACGCAGCCAGAAGTCCCAGCTACATTTGTATAAGTGCGTGTAGCCAATGATTTTTTAGCGCTCCAAACCGGTTTTGTCTTGATTCACACGGACACTGCAAGTAATGTATGTGTTGGTGCTCTGACTTTCTGAAGTGCGATGGAACGAAAATTCGTTTTGATGATTTGATTTTGATGAAACGCTGAAAAGCGTATGAAACTGACCTACCGCAACATGTGCAGAATGAGGGGTGGGGATTGGTGGCCGGACCTTTGGGGGTTGGAAAAAATAAATATACCAATAAAAGTTGTTATTGTATTTGAATGCTGTAATGGTTTTAAATGCAGATTTTATACTGCTTTTTCAAAATTGTATGCATATTATGGAAACGCCGTCGCTTCTCGACTTCGTTTCTGGCGTCTTATCAACATTGTTACCGAATCCATCTTTTACAGACAAATCTTTTTAGATAAATATAAAAACATATATATGTATATAAGCATATGTAAACACATATGTATATATATGTACATACATCTTTCTCGACTTCATGTGCGCTTTAATTGTTAGCCCTTGAAACCTTTGCATTTTTTTTGTTCTGAGCTGTTCTGAGCTCACATACCCTTCAAAATGACAACCCTCAAGACTTTATGAAGAAGCTTGCCCCTCTATATCAAAATAAATTTATTTTGTGTGACCTTTATATGTTTTATATAATTTAGGATGAAAGGGGTAACGGATATAAACATCTGAATATGTATACAAATAATGAATTACCGCAATTGACTTTGCGTTGCAAATATTTTCCATTAGAGTATTCAGAGTCACGGTGTAAACAAGCATGGAGTTTTGACGGAACGGGACATGGAGGCATGTTTGCTGGCAAGGCGCACATTAACACTTGCACATTTTCCTCCGACTCCCATCGGCAAATCGAGATTTGGACAACTGACTCAAATTTGATGCCCAAGCATGGCACTAAAATCTGCATAGACCCACCGCGTACCTATTTTTTTTTATTTGTGTACATAATTTAAATATATACATGTGTAATATAATACATGTATAATGTACATACTTGTTGCATTCGAAGGAGAGCGATATGCAAAATACTAGATTTGGTAGTATTTTTTTTGGATGTTGATAGGTCGATAGGCGAAGGGGCAAGGCGATCAACGGTGCCGGTGAGAGAGCGGGAGAATGTAAGAGAGGGGAATATTGCGGGATCCACGAGCCAGCTCACCCACACCCTCAAGAATGCCATGCTATGCCCTTGAATTTGGTTCAATGAGATCAGCTGCAGCAAGGGGGACTGCGTAGAGTAGCTACGCTGAACATGCCGGAGTGGGAAAATAAACATCGGCAGTGTTAGGGCGTTTTGTGTGTGTGACCGTTTAAGAAAACAAACAGACCGGCCAACGTAGAGGACCCTTTTACCCGAATCGAAATAAAAAGGCGTAAATTGTATCGGCTGGCTTCCCGTAGATGGGCCAAAATTACGATTCCCCGGCCCGCGGAATCCTGGTCACACCCCTGCCCGGGCGCGACTCGCCACAGCGCCACCGACAATTAAATAATTAATCCATGCCTACATAAACGCATACCTATCTACATGCATATATAAAGACACACCAAAATAATATCTATCTATATTAATTAATATTTAATTAATTAGCCATCCCACATATATTTACCGACCATATTAATGTAATATAAATGTAGTATTTGTATTTATATTTATTTTATTATTTATATTTATTATTTTTGTGATTATTCCCACCCATTAATTTAAGTTGAAGAGTCGGGAATAGGCGGACGCGCCACGAGACATTAGTATAGGGATTTTTAGTTAAGTATGTGTTAAGTTTTTGGTTTAAATATTATAACGTTTAAAATGAAGTGCTAGTGTGTTTAGTATGGGGGGGAAAGGGGACCACAACGGCGAGATGGAGAAAGTCCGCCACACTTGGGAAGGAGATCTGAGGTATTCTGAGTCGCATCTCAGGTAGAGTACGTAGCTTTGTAGCTTTGAAGGCTGGCTCGCAGATGCACGGCACTGAGGGATCTGTAAATGTAGGAATCCACAAAGTAAATTGTTTTTTTTTTAGTTTGAGTTTAAACTTATCTGACAGAGGGAAGCCGGAGCTCTCAAAGGGGTGAGGTTGGCACTGGCTGAGGAGAGTCCTCAAGCCGGTTAGCAACGGACCCGTTGCCTGGTGGACAAAAGAGAGCCTGGAAAGGAAAAAATACCCGAAGTTAGTTAAGTTCGTGTAGTTTTTTTTTTTTGTGCTGCTTCCCCTACTTACCGCTGGAGGACACCGGGAAAGTAGTATCTCGTAGAGATTTATTTTGCTCGAGATGGCCCGTGGGGACAATAAGTCGGCCACGCGATGCACCTGGAGCAGCTACAAGATCCCGAAGCTATCCTTCAGTAGAGTAGTGGGACAGAAGCAGCTAGGTAGCAGAGTGAGCGCCCTTGACTCTTAATCTGCTGTAGAAGATGAGAGGTCAACAGCGCTCGCGAAGAAGTTGAAGACGTTGGACAAGCAAAGACGTAGGCAACCAAGTGCAGATGGCCCATGTAGCAGTTGTGGTTACTTTCCCCTCTTAGTGTTGATCTTGCAGTAATTTGAAGTTCCGTGTCAGGTTTTGTTTGAGTTTTGAGTTTCTGTGGAAGAGAGAAAAGTAGGTGGTCAGAAAAGTTTATGAGCAACTACAATTTACGATCAAAGGGGAAAATGACTAGCAGTACTCCTCCGCCGGGAAAATTGCGGGAACAGGGCGCAGAAGGAGGAGAGAACGACAGTTGGAACCAGCCGAAGTACCCAAAAGAATTGCCGTCGGAAATTCTTTCGGGCATAAACGTCGCCATAGCACAAGCGCAGGAGACGCAGAGAGGAGCTATGGCGGACACCATCAGCAGGACGCTGCAAGAGGAGATCCGTCGAGGATTTATGGAGCTGATGGGTGCCATAACGGAGGCAATGACCCCCCTGCGCCAGAAGGGAGAGCTGATCCAGGATCTGGGCTGGGAGGATGGTCCGAATGGCAGAGAAGGCGGTGCGAAGGCTCCAGAATGGCGAAGACAGAGTACCGGCACCCGACCCAAAGGTTCCGTGGAACAACAGGAGCATATTCCACAAGCGCCTCCGAGGAAGCCGGAGAGACTGAGCCAATATTGGTCACGCAGGGTGGAAGATGGCGACCTGGAAACGAGACCGATGGTACCTGAAC